CACACACACACACACACACACACACACACACACACACACACACACACAGAAACACAAACACAAACAGCTACATTTTTGCAGCAGCACCAAATTCGAATTTCCCACGAGAGGGCATTATGGAAAGATGGATGCCCAACATGAGGGCATATGGCACAGCAACCGGTGAAATGGCGCCGGCGATCCGGTAAGGGCATCCCAAAAAGTTGCGCCCCTCACTGACAGGGGCCTGCAGGAAAGTATCGAGGGCCCAGGGGCAAATCAGGGTACGTAGGCCGTCAGAGGGGTATTTTGCAAATAAATGTAACTTTCAGGGGCATTTCGGAACTTTCCTTTTTCTTTCTTTTTTTATTATAGAAGGAAGAGCATGGATGCCTGGAGTAACTGAGCCTGGGAGCATTACCCAGTTTTGGCCTTTTACAGGACCCTTGAGGGGACCCAAGAAACGTACCATGAGGAACTTCTGAAAACCAGTAGGAGATGACTTCACCAATGCCTACCTTCTTCCCCCGAATACAACGTACGGTCATTATGAGGCATCTTCAGTCCAGATACAGCTATAATGACCGTACGTTGTATTTGAGGAAAGAAGGTACCCTGTGTACCAGTTCGAGCCTGGCTCCCTGGAACACACATTCCATATGGTAAGGGGATAACTATTGTTCTAACCTGAGGGACAAACTCTACTAGAGAAGTGGGAAGGGGAGGGGGGGGAAGGAGGCGGGGGGAAGGAGGGACAAGGGGGGAGGGAGGAGGAGAGGAAAGGATAGGAGGAGAGGAGGGGAAGATAGCAAATATACAGGCCTAGGACGGCCTGACCTCGGCCCACTACGCCCGAGAGGAAGCTGAATTGTTCCTTTTTTTTCTTTTTTTTTTTTAAAGCCCAGGGTGTTGTAGAGGCCGGTTACTAGGCACACCTTGATCGCCAGGAGCATTCAGCCATGGTCGTCCTGAGGGAACGAGGCTACCTTCCCATCCCATCCTCACGTCAGTACTCCTGTCGGGATCGCAAGACATGGAGACGTGGACACGGGAGGGTGGGGGAGGGTGGGGGTTGGGATCGCAAGGGATGGACACGTGGACGGGAGCCG